TTAGTAGAGACGGGGTTTCACCATGTTGACCAGGATGGTCTCGATCTCTTGACCTCGTGATCCACCCGCCTCAGCCTCCCAAAGTGCTGGGATTACAGGCTTGAGCCACCGTGCCCGGCCCTATAGCAGCTCTTAAAATCATGACCCTTTGTATCTATTCTCAGTGCTTCCTATAAAAGCATCAAGTAAGTATTTCTTTTTTTCTTTTTTTGAGATGGAGTTCAGCTCTTGTTGCCCAGGCTGGAGTGCAATGACATGGTTTCAGCTCACTACAACCTCTGCCTCTTGGGTTCAAGGGATTCTCCTATCTCAGCCTCCCTAGAAGCTGGAATTACAGATGCCTGCCACCATGCCTGGCTAATTTTTGTATTTTTAGTAGAGACAGGGTTTCACTATGTTGGCCAGGCTGGTCTCAAACTCCTGACCTCAGGTGATCCCCTGCCTCAGCCTCCCACAGTGCTGGGATTACAGGTGTAAGCACCCTGCTGGGCCCAGGTAAGTATTTTCAGAAGGATTTTATCTCCTGAGCCAATAATGAGGACTTCAAGATGAAGTAAGTAATGATGGGTTAGAGCTCAGCAGAGTCAGGTGAGATGGGGAGCTTTCGAGAAAATGAGGCAGGCTCACAGAATGATAGTGGACCATTGTTGACTGGGGATAGACTGTGGTTTCTTTGATTTCTATAGGGAGAGCTGATATTTTGTGGTCCAAAATCTAGACATTTTGGAGGAGAAATCCAACATAATATTCTATTCACTTGGTTTGCTGCTTTTTTTTTTTTTTACTTGGTTGAGGGCAACAGAAAATAATAGGCTGCTATACGTAACATAAAAAACCATGCAATTTAGAATCCAAACATAGATTTGAGGCTGGGAGTGATGGCTTACACCCATAATCCCAGTGCTTTGGGAGGCTGAGGAGAGCTGATCACTTGAGGCCAGGAGTTCAAGACCAACCTGGTCAATATGGAGAAACGCTGTCTCTACCAAAAATAGAAACATTATCCAGGCATGGTGGCACATGCCTGTAGTCCTGGCTACTCAGGAGGCTGAGGCATGAGAATCACTTGAATCTGGGAGGTGGAGGTTGCAGTGAGCCATCGCACCACTTCACTCCAGCCTGGGTCACAGAGTGAGACCCTGTCTCGAAACAAAACAAAAACAAAAACAACATAGGTTTGAGTCCCAGGTCTGCTATTTTAATAGCAGTGTAATCTTGGGTAAGTCTTTACTTACTTGAATCTGTTATCTCATCTTTTTTTTTTTTTTTTTGAGACAGAGTCACTCCAGCCTGTGTTGCCCAGGCTGGCACACAGTCGCGCAGTCTCAGCTCACTGCAGCCTCCCCCTCCTGGGTTCAAGCGATCTCCTGCATCAGCTTCCTGAGTAGCTGGGATTGCAGGTGTGCATCACCATGGCTGAGTAATTTTTCCATTTTTTTTTTGAGATGAAGTCTCACTTTGTGGCCCAGACTGGAGTGGCTCACCTCCACCTCCTGGGTTCAAGCAATTCTCCTGTCCCAACTTCCCGAATAGCTGGGATTACAGGTGCATGCTGCCACGCCCGGCTAATTTTTTGTATTTTTAGTCAAGATGGGGTTTCACCGTGTTCCCCAGAATGGTCTCAAACTCCTGATCTCAGGCAATACATCCACCTTGGCCTCCCAAAGTGCTAGGATTACAGGCATGAGCCACCTCGCCTGGCCTAATTTTTGTATTTTTCGTAGAGATGGGGTTTTACCATGTTGACCAGGCTGGTCTCGATGTCCTGACCTCAAATGATTCACCTCAACTCTGCAAAATTCTGGGATCAGAGGTGTGAGCCACTGCAACCAACCTTGTTATTTCTAATGTGAGAGATAAAAATTGATATGTATATATGCAAATTGGGTTGTGAGAAATGTGAAAAGATCTTCGTAAAAAAATTTTTTTTTTTGAGACGAAGTCTTGCTCTGTCACCCAGGCTGGAGCCCAGTGGGTCGCTCTTGGCTCACTGCAACCTCTGCCTCCCGGGTTCAAGCAATTCTCCTGCCTCAGCCTCTGGAATAGCTGGGATTACAGATGTGCATCACTATGCCCTGCTAATTTTTTTGTGTTTTTAGTAGAGATGGGGTTTCACCATGTTGATCAGGCTGGTTTTGAACTCCTGACCTCGTGATCCGCCTGCCTCGGTCTCCCAAAGTGCTGAGATTACAGGCTTGAGCCACTGCACCTGGCCATGATGTTTGTAAAATTTTAAAAGAATCTTGCCAATTTTAAATTATTACTACTTTGGTTCCATTCTTTTCTTAGGTAATCTACTTCAAACAAATGAACAATTTACAGCTCCACGAAAAGCTAGATGCAAAATACCAGCCCCTCCCTTGCCGACCCTTTTACCTCCTATTAATAAGGTGTGTCGGGACACTTTGCGGAACTGGTGTCAAGAACTTGGTTTGAATACGAAGGGCAAGGTTAGTACACTTGGGTGAATATCTGCTGCTGGGAATAATTATAGGAATCTTTGTCAACTTTTAACTTTATTTATCTCTTCATTTCCTAAGAAAATAGAACTTTATCTGAGGCTCCATGGGCATGCTTACCCTGAACAACAACAAGTGAGTAATGAGTGTGTTGATGGTGTGAAAGTGGACTCTGCTCTGATCATGATATGTCTGGTCCCTACCCTCCCAATCCCACCATTTCTATATGTTGTACCTCTTTTTTATTTTTTAATTTTTTTATAATTTTTTTTTGAGATGGAGTTTCGCCCTTGTTACCCAGGCTGGAATGCAATGGCGCGATCTCGGCTCACCACAACCTCCGCCTCCTGGGTTCAAGCAATTCTCCTGCCTCAGCCTCCTGAGTAGCTGGGATTACAGGCATGCGCCACCATGCCCAGCTAATTTTTTTTGTAGTTTTAGTAGAGACGGGGTTTCACCATGTTGGCCAGTATGGTCTTGATCTCTTGACCTTGTGATCCACCCGCCTCAGCCTCCCAAAGTGCTGGGATTACAGGCGTGAGCCACCGCGCCCGGCTGTACCTCTTTTTTAATTTTATTTTTTATTTTTTTTATTTTTTATTTATTATTTTTTTTTTGAGACGGAGTTTCGCTCTTGTGACCCAGGCTGGAGTGCAATGGCGCGATCTCGGCTCACCACAACCTCCGCCTCCTGGGTTCAAGCAATTCTCCTGCCTCAGCCTCCTGAGTAGCTGGGATTACAGGCATGCGCCACCATGCCCAGCTAATTTTTTTTGTAGTTTTATAGAGATGGGGTTTCACCATGTTAGCCAGGATGGTCTTGATCTCTTGACCTTGTGATCCACCCGCCTCAGCCTCCCAAAGTGCTGGGATTACAGGCGTGAGCCACCGCGCCCGGCTGTACCTCTTTTTTAATTTTATTTTTTATTTTTTTTATTTTTTATTTATTATTTTTTTTTTGAGACGGAGTTTCGCTCTTGTGACCCAGGCTGGAATGCAATGGCGCGATCTCGGCTCACCACAACCTCCGCCTCCTGGGTTCAAGCAATTCTCCTGCCTCAGCCTCCTGAGTAGCTGGGATTACAGGCATGTGCCACCATGCCCAGCTAATTTTTTGTATTTTTAGTAGAGACGGGGTTTCACCATGTTCACCAGGATGGTCTCGATCTGTTGACCTCGTGATCCACCCGCCTCGGCCTCCCAAAGTGCTGGGATTACAGGCGTGAGCCACCGCGCCCGGCCTAATTTTATTTTTTTAGAGACGGGGTTTCACCATGTTGGCCAGGCTGGTCTCGAACTCCTGACCTCAGGTGGCCTGCCCACCTCGGCTTTCCAAAGTGCTGGGATTACAGGCATGAGACACTGCGCCCAGTTAGCAGTGTTTCTTAACTGGCATTATTGATATTTCAGAACAAATAACTTTTTGTTTGTTTTGGGGTCTGCCGTGTACATTGTAGGACGTTTAGCAGCATCCCCCAGCCTCTACCAACTAGATGTCAGTAGCAGCCTTTCCTCCCCCTGCACAGTTTCAACAACCAAAAATTTCTCCCAATGAAGAATTTACAGTTTATGGGAATTAATATCCCTAAACCCTTCCCACATTAATATACATGTTCTGGTCAATGTAAAGAATAATAACATTGGGGCTGGGCAAAGTGGCTCACACCCATAATCCCAGCACTTTGGAAGGACAAGGCGGGTGGATCACTTGAGGTCAGGAGTTCAAGACCAGCCTGGCTAACATGGTAAAACCCCATCTCTACTAAAAATACAAAAATTAGCTGGGCGTGGTGGCACACATCTGTAGTCCCAGCTACTCGGGAGGCTGAGGCAGAAGAATCACTTGAACCCACGGGGGGGGGTTGCAGTGAGCCAAGATCATGCCATTGCACTCCAGCCTAGGTGATGAGTGAAACTCCATCTCAAAAAAAAAAAAAAAAAAAAGAATAACAACATTGACCCAGAAGTTCTTACAGCAGTAGCAGTTTAGTGAATACTCACCATGGATTTTGTTCACAGGATATGCCTGAAATGTTACAAGAGACCAGAGTACAGCAGTGTTCAAGGAAAAGCAAGGCAGTGACCAAGACAGCAAGGCTTCAGAAAAGTTTTGAGATGAATGAGAGAGCAGAAGAGACTAATACGGTTGAAGTGATAACTTCAGCGCAGGAAGCCATGTTGGCATCGTGGGCAAGAATTGCTGCAAGAGCTGTTCAGCCTAAGGCTGTGAATTTGTGTTCCATTCGTATTTCTGTTGAGGCCTTTTTGATGCAAGCTTCTGGTAAGATCAGCCTTAAAGTGTGAGTCCCACTCCAGAGGACAAGGTTAACCTTTATTAGTCCCAGACTGAAAGGTAGTCAAAGGGAAGGAATTTGCTAGAATATCTGTAGATTAGAAATTGGATTCACGGGCCGGGCGCGGTGGCTCACGCCTGTAATCCCAGCACTTTGGGAGGCCGAGGCGAGTGGATCACGAGGTCAAGAGATCGAGACCATCCTGGTCAACATGGTGAAACCCCGTCTCTACTAAAAATACAAAAATTAGCCGGGCATGGTGGCGCGTGCCTGTAATCCCAGCTACTCAGGAGGCTGAGGCAGGAGAATTGCCTGAACCCAGGAGGCGGAGGTTGCGGTGAGCCGAGATCGCGCCATTGCACTCCAGCCTGGGTAACAAGAGCGAAACTCCATCTCAAAAAAAAAAAAAAAAAAAAAAAAAAAAAGAAATTGGATTCACATAGGACATCTCTCTTCCATCCGTCATATTAATGGCTAGTCATGTTTTGTCTGGGTGGATCCCTAAGTCAGGTGACTGAGTGGTGGCCATTTTTCATCACTAAGCAGAATTCCAAGGTGGGAACAAAGCATAATCTAGTCATCTTGGACCACAGTCTGAGTCTTCCCTTTTTCTTTCTCTCTACCTTAAGGCATTTATGACATAGTGAATGACAGGAATGTGTTGATCAAATTCTTGCTTTACCATTTCCTAGGTATGCAACTTAGTTTAAGCGTTGGTATCCTGTTCTGTAAAATGAAGATTTACCTATTTCATAGAATAGTAGTGTCTGAGCGTGGTGGCTCATGCCTGTACTCCCAGCTCTTTGGGAGGCTGAGGCGGGAAGATTGCTTGAGTTGATGATTTTGAGACCAACCTGGGCAACGTGGCGAAAGCTCTGTCTACGAAAAATACCAAAAAAAGTTAGCTGTGCATGGTGGTGTGTGCCTGTAGTCCCAGCTACTCAGGAGGCTGGGGTAGAAGGGTGGCTTGAGCCCAGAAGGTGGAGGTTGCAGTGAGCTGAGATTGTGCCGTGGCACTCTGGCCTGACAGACAGATCCAGACTGTTTTTTTTTTTTTTTTAAGACCGTCTCGCTCTGTCACTGGGTGCCAGGCTGGAGTGCAGTGGCACGATCTCAGGCTCACTGCAACCTCCGCCACCGGGTTCAAGCAATTCTTCTGCCTCAGCCTCCCGGGTAGCTGGGACTACAGGCGCACACCACCACACCCAGCTAATTTTTTTGTATTTTTAGTAGAGGCGGGGTTTCACCATGTTGGCCAGGATGGTCTCGATCTCTTGACCTCGTGATCCGCCCGCCTCGGCCTTCCAAAGTGCTGGGATTACAGGCTTGAGCCACCGTGCCCAGCCCAGACCCTGTTTTAAAAAAATTTTTTTTTTGTAAAGTTGACCAGGCTCAGTGGCTCACACCTGTAATACCGGCACTTTGGGAGGCTGAGGCAGGTGTATCACCTGAGGTTAGGAGTTCAAGATCGGCCTGGCCATCAAGGTGAAACCCCATCTCTACTAAAAATACAAAAATTAGCTGGGCGTGGGGGCAGGTGCCTATAATCTCAGGTACTTGGGAGGTTGAGGCAGGAGAATCACTTGAACCCGGGAGATGGAGGTTGCAGTGAGCCAAGATCACGCCACTGCACTCCAGCCTGCTCAACAAGAGTGAAACTCTGTGTCAAAAAAAAAAAAGTGTGACACATGAGACACAGAACTTGACATGTAGAAAGCAGGCAATAATAACGAAAAGATTTGGGGTCCTTTTCCTGTAAGAAATTTTTTTTTTTGAGACACAGTTTCACTGTGCCCAGGCAGGAGTGCAATGGCATGATCTCGGCTCACTGCAACTGCCGCGTCCCGGGCTCAAGCGATTCTCATGCCTCAGCTTCCTGAGTAGCTGGGATTATGGGCATGCACCATCACACCCAGCTAATTTTTGTATTATTAGTAGAGATCGGGTTTCACCATGTTGGCCAGGCTGGTCTCGAACTCCTGAACTCAAGTGATCCACCCATCTCAGCCTCCCAAAGTGCTGAAATAACAGGCGTAAGTCACCGCACTCATCCCTCTAAAAAATTTTGAGAATAACTTAATTCCACTTTTCTCCAACTCCTGCTTTTGTTTTCTTGGTATTTTTGCTTTTATCTCCAGTGTCTGCTATCTCAAGTCACCTTCCTTTTTGGCTTGAATTCTTTTCTTCCTCCCCCATCTTCCCATTTCCAGAAGTATTCTAGATCCTATTTTATTCCAGGTAACTGGTATGGTAGGGCGCATCATTCATCATACAGGGAAACCAGCCAGAAGGTAGACCTGAAGCTGAAATTGGCATATCGTCTGCTCTTCAAGCTACATTTCTTTTTTTTTTTTTTGAGACGGAGTCTTGCTTTGTAGCCCAGGCTTGAGTGCAGTGGTGCAATCTCGGCTCACTGCAACCTCCACCTCCTGGGTTCAAGCAAGTCTCCTGCCTCAGCCTCCCAAATAGCTAGGACTAAAGGCGTGTGCTACCACGCCTGGCTAATTTTTTGTATTTTTAGTAGAGACCAGATTTCACCATGTTAGCCAGGATGGTCTTGATCTCCTGACCTTCTGATCCACCCGCCTCAGCCTCTCAAAGTGCTGGGATTACAGGTGTGAGCCACTGGACCTGGCCCTCAAGCTACGTTTCTTTCTGTAGGGACAGTGGGTACCTTTTAATAATTTGTGCAAAGGGATTGTCCAGCCATAAAGTTCTGTGCCTGGGGGTACTGCCTCCCTAAAGATGACACCTCTTTCTAATTTTTATTACTATGCTGTATGAGCTAATATCGTCTCACAGTGACTTATCCGTTTATATTTCTCTTCATTCTGCACTTATTAAGCATCTGCTGTGATCCCGAGATATGTCTAGCTGCTGTGTATACTGTGCTAAACACACACATGTTCTCTTGTTTTACAGTCTAATCGGAGCGATCACACCACATATACTGCTTACTTACAGATATGTAAGTCCACCGTGACTGCTCCTTTCTCTCAATTCAGACGTTCCATAAATGTACAACTTGTTTTACTGCAAATCTCCCAGCTCCCTAACTAAATTGTTCCTTACACTTTTAAACAGACGCTTGTCTGTTTCCTATAGCTGAGGCAGCACAGTGTAGTGGTTAGGCAAATGGGCTGTAAGTGAGTCAGAATACCTGGATCCATGACTTGGCTGTGGGTAACTTAGGATATTTAACACCGTAAGCTTCAGTTATCTCACCCATGAATAAGAAAAGCAAATGGAAAGTAAATATTAATGGTGCACTTAAGAGTAAATGTATTAACACATGTAAACCACCTAGCAAAATCTTGGACACAAATCATGCATTTCTAAATGGCAACCATCATCATTCCTTGTGTTATATAACTTGTGAAATTAGATCATAGTGTCTTGTAGTCTACGTTTTTATGCATTTCATTCAATTGATTTGTGAGCAGAATGTAAGAACAAAATCAAGAGTGACTTGCAGGCCGGGCGCGGTGGCTCAAGCCTATAATCCCGGCACTTTGGGAAGCTGAGGCAGGTGGATCACGAGGTCAAGAGATCGAGACCATCCTGGTCAACATGGTGAAACCCCGTCTCTACTAAAAATACAAAAAATTAGCTGGGCATGGTGG